CCCGTGGGGTGTACACAAGAGTGGGGGCCTGATCCTTACCTACCTCTTTAGCAGCAGGGGGGCAGGAGCAGTCCCTGAGCTGCACAGGGGGTCCCCCAGGCTGCACCTGACTGCTGGTACCTGGCCCAGGCAGTCCCAAGCGTGGGAAGAACTGCACCCCGCTCCTCCCCTCAGCCACAGAGGGAAGCACTGGGTTCAGGCAGGGGAGAAAAAAAAAAAAGGATCAGGCTCACTGATCCTTTTTTCAGTGGAGTCTGCCTGCACTGGCTGCCACTGGGTCCCACAGCCCCTGAACTGGGCAAAGCCCACCAAGCTCCCAGCACATTGGCTTCCAGCACCCCATGCACTGTTGTACTTTGTTAGGTAGCAAACTAAAACACCTTTGAGGTGTTTTATCTTGCTATGTACCAAAGTCATTTAAAGTGGAATACGCCGCCGAGCATACAACCATCACCATTAAAGCGGAATACACCGCCAAATGTGCAAACAGCAGTGCCATTAAAGCAATTTCAAAAGGGCATTTAAGCCACTCTAATCGCCAGTTTTGTGGTGTGTACAAAGGCTCATTGGCACCTGGGACAGACAAGAAGTGGGCTGTTCTAAAAACTCTCTCATGATTTGTAGCTGGTTTTGTGTTCCAGAATAAATATTATTCTGTATAAATGGCTACATACAGTAAAATCTCTGTTATCCAGTACTTCACCAACCAGAATACCTTATTAATTGGAATTTCTGGGCCATGCCGCTTTGCCTCCTGCTGCACTGCTGAAAGCAGTGGGATGCACATGACGCCATGCCATGCCGCTTTGCCAAATAATGTGTTGTTCCTGGTTACAATTGATTCTGGTGCAGGAAATCCCATGTATTGTGCTTTGAAAATCACACCAAGCACTTGAGTACAAAGTTTCAGCTTCTCTGAATCTTTGAGGGAAGTTACTATTCCTGCATGACTCTGTCAGGCTCCTACATCAGGAATGCTTGCTCCTTTGACAGATTCTGAAAGCTAAGCTTTTCCTGACTGAAAAATGCAAATGCTTCCTCCAGTTTTCGTATGTTATCAAACACAAACTATTTCAGGTCCACTCACTAACTTTGCCAGCCCACAGGAGGTTGATTTATCTTGTAAACTGAAGCATGCAGTTTAAACTGAAGTGCTTTCATAATAATGATGAATGGGATTCCATGCAAATATCTAAAGAAAACCCATAATATCAGCCATGATTTTAAAGATATAGAACTTGCCTTTTAAAATTTAACACTGTAAATATAATTTCTTCCTCCGCCCCCTGCTTTGATGGGCAACACACAAAGCAAGTGTAACCATTTGAATATCAGGCCCACACAGATGATGGAAATTTCTTGCAGAAATTATGAAAATCTAATTATCTGGGAATAGAAGTACAAACTTAAATAAGTGGCAGGAAAGTTACATTGGCAAAGACAGTGATAAAAAAATCATAAATTCTCCTGGAGTTGTATTTTTTAAGCTAAACTTGGCCTTCAATAGAATTACAGCATATTAAGGTCTTTCTCTATCTGCTTTACACACTCTGTAAACTCAGACAGCTTAAGATGCTAAGATGAAAATATTTTATTTAGCCTTAACACTAGCCAAGTGGACCCTGTCAGCAAACACATGCTGTATATATTATAAGAAAGTTAAATTACATTTACTGAGATGGCAACATCTGATGCAAGACCTTGGTGCTTTCTGCAGCTAAATAAGTTGAATACAAGTGGATTTGACAGCTTGCTTTAGGAAATGTATTATGGTTTGGAGAACAAGTGTTGCCTTAACAACCAGACAGTATTTCCTTAATTAAGTATAATTTTTTCCTTACATGATCATAAGAGGATGTTGCAAATTCTGGTGAATTAATGGACTGGCAAATGCATGCAGTTCTCTGGTCTAGGTAACTGTCAGCTTCTAACCCTTTAAGTTGTCTTAAGAAATCTGCAGATTCTTGAGTTCACTATTGTTCTTTTTTCTGGTGTGTTCTCAGTTGTAAACTGTAAAACTAGAATACCTGTTCAGTTTTTAAAAAATAGCTAAACTGGTCTGTTATCTCCAAATAAACTTTGTGTTAGATAGATATTTTTTTCTTAAAACCCCATATTTTATAATAATTTATTCACAAAAACTGTGTCTTGTTTACAGAAAGAAACATTTTTTGCCAGACTGTTCCACTGATGTTTGGCACTCGTATTTGCCATCCTCAATCACAACATTTTCCTTACTACAGTTCTTCCGTAATTGCTAGGCTCCTAAATTTATACACTGCTGTAACTATCAGTCTGTCACATCTGTAATCATGCCAAGCTCCCCCCAATGATGTCATCATGATAGAGATCTCAGAAAAAAAGAGCTAAACTGTATTGTCCTTGGGAGCCTCCCAAGTTAATTGCTGGTGCTACTACTGGCAATCATTTCTTTCACTGCATCATGCAGGGCTCTAATTGATCAGCCATGTATACATGCTGTGTGAGGCTGACATGCATGTCGGTTTTTTCATTTCCTGTCACAGACAAGCAGCTAAGGTCACCGATAGCTTTAAGAAAATAGTCTATTTCCTAGCCAAAATGGGAAAACTGCCTGTAGGAATAGCTGGGATATGTGTTTACTGTTAACTAATTCAATTTAAGCTATAATACCTTATTCTGGTTCAGGTCATTTGGACCATAATTGCATATTTTTTGAATTCTTCTTGTAACCAAACAGCACACTTAATAAATCAAGGATGGATGGTCCAAGGCCATACCAGATCTCAACTTCAGGAGCATGACTGGCATTCCAGGTTTTTTTAAACTGAATGCCTGGCAAAACGGCAGACAAAATGCAAAAAGGTTCTTGCTTTGAGTCATAAATACTAAATGGGCTTTAGATTGTACCCAAGAAGCTCACTGTCATGCCCTTCCAGCAGATTTTGTAGTGTTTGTGTTAAAGGAAAGAGGTTACAATTGGGGAGTAAAAAGCTGGAAAGGAATAATGAATAAGGAGATTTGGAAGGTGAGGTGAGGCTTCTGAAATACTGAAAAGAAAAATTTGCAATGACAGGTGATGGAAATAGGGTTTTTAAGAGAACTTTTTCCACGACATGTGGAGAGTGGCTCCATGGCAAGTTAAGTGGGATGAATTAATCTATTGTAACTACATCTATGCTGATCTTAAGCAAAGCAGCAGATAACAAGGAGACAAAATTTGCATAAACATTGAGGCTTAGAAACATGTATACTCATAAGGCTGTTGATATTGATAAGAATGCATATAGGACTGTCACAGCTTTTCTATGGAGGTATCATATTTTCTGTAGCGTATCTGATGACTTGCCCTAAGTGTTTATTTCAATGTAAATAACACAACCTGGTGTAGGGCAAATTGTGTATGTGGTATGTATCCCATATACTTTAATGCCTTACAAAACTGATTTGAGTCAACTCTCGTTTGAACACTGCATCCAAGTAATCAGTAAATTCATATCCAAGGATCAGTAAGATTCTCAAATCGGACATGCATAGAAGAAGACTTTCTGGAAGAACAAAGCAATCTTCCTAACTGCAATAGCATAACTGAGGTGCCAACTTGGCCGGGGGCGGGGGGAGAAGCTGGGGGGAGGGCAGCAAAAACAAGCATCTGGCTCCACCACCTACTGGCAGAGCAGTCAATGCTGCCCTCTGAGCCAACATTGCCTTGTTACACCTCTACCCAATTTGTTTTTATATTTTTACCTGCAGTTGAAAACACTGGAGTTATTGCTTCCGGTCTGATCCTTAGAAATGAGCCCAACTGTTCAGTATAAATGTGAGGCAAACACTTTAAAACAATCAGACAATGTATTTAGAGATCTTTTTTTTTTTATTCTTTGTGCTCAATTCCAGTGTGTAGTATGTAGGACTGTTAAAAATTTTGAATGAAAAAAGTGAACAATTTCTCACAAAAAGGTTCACAATCTTTTTTTATTTTTTACTAACTCTCATCGTGTAACTTTATGCAGTCTGTTTGCACAGAATATACCATAACTTTCATACTAACTGACAGCTGCAAGTATCTCAAGTTATTTACTCTTGTTTAATTATCTTTTGGTTCATACCATGTTCAAATGAGTTGATGAGCCTTGACTGTCCCATGCTAAAGAACATAAAGAATGCAGTATCTTCTCCCTTTTGTAGGAGAAAGAAGCAACTCACTCCTTTCTGAAGTGAATTAGCCTAGTTAATATGGCAAACAGTGTTTTGCATAGAGGAGCTCAGGAGAGAGCCACTTTAAAGCCATGCGTGAGTAAAGGGATGAGTGTTCCAATGCTCATTGAAAGCTGGGAGAGCAAAAGCTGGAAATGACAGAAGCTTTCCTGAACAATTCTCTTGAATTCTTTTAATCTTTTGTTCAGAGTCTTATTCTTGCCATAGCTTGCCCCTTGTTTATTATTGACCTCTTTGTTGCCATGCAGAGAGGAAAATGCCTGTGTGCGCGCATATATTTTGAGTGACTGTCCCTACCATACCGATTGTCAATAACTAGTCATACTTAATCGGCTGTAAAATGTCATAAATAAGGACTCATAACTGAGCCTGGAAAAGCCAAGGTAATTACCATCGTAGGTTGCCTATCTCAGACTGAAGGTTTTAAATTTCAGGGAAAATTAAGGACATATGTGTGGTGTCTGAGAGTCAGTGTTCCACGTAGATTATGGAAAATGCAAATGACAGACATTCTGCAAAGTACAGTAGCATTCATCATAGACAGACCATATGCATTTGTTTGTCAAAAGCAATGAAGTCAAAATTAACACTTAATTTGAACTGGCATAAAATGGCCTGATTAGTTCTACAAATAATATATGTATATGTTGGCTGTCAATGAGGACAAAACAAATCTCAAGTGACAGCTGTATTAGTCTCTTTTAAGATCAATGTCAGTGTTTCAGCCAGGTTCATTTATTTAAAAAATGCTTATGACATTTAAAAAAAATAAATGGTGAGATGGCAATGATGTCTGTTTGTAGGGTGCTGTGATAACGCCGACAATGGACCACACTATGTCAATGCAGCCAGCAAGCATGATGGGCCCCCTGACCCAACAGATGAACCACCTTTCCTTGGGCACAACAGGAACGGTAAGATTACAGAATATGCTGCTGCATTTTTATTTTATTAAATGTTTTATTAATTTTTGAGTTTTTTCCAGGTCATTTCACACTTTCTTGAGTTTTTGAGAGTTCATTCTTTTTTACTAGTGTATTATTTCTATGGCTTATTTCCTAAATGTTCATTTTTTTAACAGCTTCATATAAGACAACCTCTGGCATCAAATAAAATATCCTAATAAAACATCTTGTAGTATGATCAAAGCATCCTGTACTAAACAGTCTATGTCCTAACACATGTGTCTCTGACAAATAAGGCTCCAGGCAATATGTTACTATAGCAGTCACACAGGCATATGCCATGATGGGAGATAGGATTCAAGTTTATGGGGAGTGGTGGTGCTGGCATAGTAATTAAGTAGTAAAACAACAGGTTAACAAACCCTGCCCTGTACTTTGCAGAGAACTAATTACATTAATTCTAATATAAACCTGGGAGTACTGCTGTATTAACATGGGCCAGTATTTAAATTGTCTCAGTATGCACCTTGATTAGGTACTGCCCCAACTGCCTTTTTGAGCATCTGTCCCAGGAGGGCAGTTCAGAGTGCCCTGGTTGGAGCCTTGGACCTCTGTATAGTCAACAGAAAGATTTCAGAGACAACTAAGAATTATTTAGGTTTAGGAGTGTGTCTAAATTTTTGTCTCTGAATGGCATCTGAATACAAACACCTCATGGATAGCCTGACAAATTGCTTAGTCCCACTTCCAGTACACCTTTTTCTGGGGTTTCTGAAGATAGCCATTTCAGAATGAGGTGATGGAGGTGTGCACATTTTTCAGAGTAGTCTGATTCTTAGCACAGTTGTTGTAGAAGTGAAAGACATGGGTTCAAGGCCCACTGCAATCTGGGGCAGGAGTTGAACCCACTTTCTAGGCAGTTGGCCTAGCTACTAAGCTATTGGACAAAAGATAGGCACTGCACCACTGGCTTTGAACTGAATTCGGTGCTGTGATTATAAGTTGGGGTGTTTTTTACCTTCCTGTCTTTCCAGGGACTTGGACAGTTTAGGTTCCCCACAACAACGTTTTGATATAGACACCTATGAAAATTTTCAGTCCAAAATAGGAGTGTTTAATGAACTGAAAGACCTAATGCATTTGTGGTGACTGGCTTGCAATCATTTTGGTTCCCTCTTTAAAACCATGGGGTGTTTATAACATGCTCTGGAAAGGGAGTGGGGGGGTTCTGAGGGTCACTCTAATTAAAGCACGTGGAGCATCTCATATATCAGCAGCCCTGCACTGAAAAATGGTGGCAGGGGCACTTTAACTAAAGCTTATCAAACGAGCTTTAGTTATACACACACACACACACACACACACACACACACACGTATACTGTATTACATTTTGCTTTCATCCCCAGCTAAATTTCTTTCTAGCCTGTGGCAGGGCACTGTTGGTGCCTGCCACTTTAAGGACTCAGCCAAGCAGCCAGCAGGTGCTTGATTGTGGCAGCCATTTTAGATCTCTGGCTGCTCATATAAACAGAACAGTTTGCTGCTGGCAGCCCATGCAGTAACATCGCCTGGCTGCAAGGCTGCTTGGAAGATAAGGGCAGGAGGTAATGGCAGGAGCTGTAGGATATGGTTTGGAGGCTCCTGGTCCTGGCCATGACCTAAAACTGCACCCTGCCAGGAGTGGGTGGCTTGGTGGGGCTCTCAGTGGTGTGGCAGCCCCCAGGAAATGCCAGGCCAGTTACTTCCCTGGCAGGTCAGGGTGCCTTAATAACCCCAGCTCCCACAACCAGATGGGCTACACTTAGTAGGGGCCAGAAGGTGGACCCAAGAGTGGGCTGGAGGCACAGAAGCCTCATGTAGAGTACCCTCGACGGGTCAATGCTGGGGCCAGGACCAGAATGGTCAGAATGGTCAAAAGGGCCCACCGTGAGGGACACCCAGAGCTGCGGGCCTGGGGTTCTGACTGAGCTTGGAGGTGAGGCCAGGGCCTGTGTGGCCAAAGGTCCTGGGGGGACCACACCTGAGAGGGGAAATAGTTTCAGGGAGCTAGGCAGCCCAAATGAAGGTGGAATAGGCTACCTGAGTGGAGGGATCATGTAGGGGTCTGGACTGAAGGATTTTGGGGCCCAGTGTGGGGCCGGTGATGTTAACAACAGAGGATGCCATCTACAAGGCTTGGGTATCAGTGTAGGAGAGGAAGGGAGCTGAAGATTGCACCCCCTGGGACCGGGGCAAGAAATAGGCAGCCTCCTGCCTAATTAACACCCTAATTAGATAACAACAAGGCGTGGCAGAAGAGAAGGTAGTTGGTTGGCCCAGAAACAGGTGGGTGGGCCGTTGGTAGACTGGCTGCAAGAAGGCCCCCGTTACACAGCCCCAGCATTTTTTCTGTTTCTGTTTTTATCTGACTTCTGTGTTTATATCTGAGGAAGTTTGAATATGATGATTCATTATTTTTTTCTGTTCTAATATGTTTTGGTCTATAAAGAAATCAAGTAGAATAGAATCTGAATGCTTATCTCACAATGTCATATTTCTTTGGCCAGGTGAAGCTGTGAGAAATTATTAGTGTGGCTAGTATGAATTCTTTTTTGGGTAGATTAGAGCCTTTGTTGGCCATTCTGATTGCTTCCTGGCCAGAGATTCCCATCACACTTAAGCTGTCACTCAAATTCATTGATTGATTTATTTTATTTACTGACATGAATGTGCATTTAATAATTAAGAAAAGGAAGCAAAAACTGTAGTCAGGATATGATGAGTCCTTGAGAATATTGCTCTGAGTCTGTCATTGACATCAATGAAGGTCACCGGAATGACTAAACTATGAGAAAACCCTTTAGAGCAGGGTTGATCTAGCTAGTGAAGAGACTGGATCCAGTCCACAGCAACCTAGAGAATAATTAGCACACTCCAGCCACAGCAGCAGAGGAGGCATCACTAGGATCCTATTTACTACCATGTTCAGTTTATGTGCTCTGTGGCAGGAGAGACTTCTTCCACAACAGTTTAATACTTTAATAGTTTCTATGGTCAGAAGGGACCTGAACAGATCATCGAGTCCGACCCCTTGCCATGGCAGGAAAGAGTACTGGGGTCAAACGACCCCGGCAAGGTGTACATCTAGCCTCCTCTTAAAGACCCCCAGGGTAGGAGTCAACACCACTTCTCTTGAAAGTTGGTTCCAGATCCTAGCCGCCCTGACAGTGAAGTAGCGCCTCCTGATATCTAGCCTAAATCTACCCTCTGCCAGCTTGTGACCGTTATTCCTGGTCACTCCTGGTAGTGCTCGGGGGAACAGGGACTTCCCCAGTGCCTGCTGGTCCCCTCTGACTAGTTTGTAACAGGCCACTAGATCCCCCCT